CTTAATGTCTTAATTAAACTTGGTAATGTAGTTTAAGAGAAATGCTCCACCTGTTGTGTTTATGTGTGTAATGGAAACCCGCTGACCCCTAGAGGCGGTCTGCAGGTACTGCATGCAGCTGTTGGACTTTGCTCTGCTGCCAGCCCAAAGCCAGCTGTGGTCATGCTGAGTGCGCTGCGGTGAGCTGCAAAGAACAACAGTAGCCAGAAAAAGATTGTGGTGAGCTCTTCATGCTTCAGCCAGTCCCTGCTCTTTATTTTCATCCTCTTCCTCGCCTCGCCTTGTCCTGTCGTTCCTTTCTGCTGCAGATTGTTCTTGTGGTTGTAGAAGCAGGAAAATTCAGCGTTCCTTGTTGTTTTTAGCACAAAGAGAAATACTGATATAGCAGTGGTCAGATTGTCTAGTCTGAAAAGTCTTGGCTGAACCATTTCTCACATACTTTGGGTTAACTTGGAGAGAAAATCACTCACCTGGAAAACGGTTTCCTTACGGCGCCGATTCAGAATGTCCTTTTGTTCTTAAACCCTCAGTTGGGTTTTAACTCCTTGCATTTACTTGAGAAACTTTTTTGAAAAAAAAAAATTGTTTTAGGAGTGTTTTTCCTACACTGTATGTTTTATTTAAGTAATTTTATCATAAAGTATTTCTACTCTTGCTTGAGTAAAATTTCTGGATTTTCTGCCCACTGAATGAAGGGGTAGTAACTGAACGTTAAAGTTTCATTAGTTTTTATTGCAAGAAACTGATTTGGAAAAAAATATTTTGCTTGATTTTGTTATTTTTTGTTCCTTATATGAATTATTGTCATTTTGGTTTTTAAAATACCCAAATTTCCACTTATCTTTATACTTTGGGTCACCTGACGATGTAATTTTTAAATATTAAATGATTGAAATTAACTCAGCATCTGAGTTAATGACTTGGACGACAACTTTCTTCTCTTACTTGACTATCATTTTTTATCCTCGGTTTAAAGTCGACTTTTTGACTTTTGCAGATTCACATGGGGAGGTAACAGAGGGAATTCCCCTCATTTGAGAAGATTCATTTTGAGGGATTTGGTGTTGTCTGTCCAGGGTGATTTCCACGCTCCAGTCACGCTGGTTGATGTGGTCAGGGTTTCAGGTCTCACAGCAGAGCGGCACACAAACGGCGACACCAAGAAATAAAGAAACATCCACTCTTTCTGTCAACTATTATCCATGTATTCAGGTGAAAAAGCCACGATGGCTCCGTTTTTGTAATATCAAGGTTTTCATTAGGGCTGAAACGATTAATCCAAATAATCATGATTAATCACTTATTGAAATCAACTAATTTAGTTATCGATTAAACTCAAAACAGGCAATTAACTAAAAGCAAATGCAGTAATTAAACAAAATTATTGTTATCAATTATTAATTATTAGTTATTAATCCAAAATATAATCAATTGATTAGCCCTACACTGTATTGATATTAAGATAAAAGTATTATATTTTGCTGCAGATGCAAATAATCAAGTGTTCACTACATATAAAACTTAATTTGTGTTATATTAATTGTTTATTTGCATCTTTTGATGTATTCCTTAAAACATTAAAAGATGCAATTAGCAATAAATCAGCGAGATAATTCATTTTATTTGTTGTTTCTGTTGTTTTGGTTGATTTGTTTATTCATTTTGTATATTTAAAATGTCTCTCAGCTCTGTTTAATGTATGTTAGAAATTAGTTCATTTATTTATATACTTGAAAATGGTCTCAAAATAACAATATTATTGTTTATAGCAGGGGTCCCCAAGCTACGGCCCGTGGGCCGGATCCGGCCCGCCTCCTCATTTGGTCCGGCCCCCTGAACAATGCCAGAGAGCATTCAGTGTTTTTTTTCATATATATGTGGATTTTTCTTCAACCACCAGGGGGGCTCTTGAGCAGATATGAAACTTAGTTTCCCTCAATGGAATATATACTAGTCAGTACCAGTCACCGTTTCGCTCACGGATTTTTTCCATTTGCATTCTGAGTAAAAATCTATCTACAAACGCCAATATGTCGTCGGCAGTAATCCAAAGGCATAAATGGTGAATGAAAAGTCTGCAGAAAGTGTCAGAATTTAAATGGTGACAAACCAATCAGATGACAATCAGAAGTAACCATGGCAACCGTGGAGGATAATCTGTCAACAGCTCCACTGGTACCGAGATAAAAACACCTGGCGCGTCACAGTACAGCCTGACGATGAGCTGGTGGCTGCAGGAACAGGGAACTGAAAACATCCCCCAACCCTGGGAGAAAAAGGATTTAGAATATGGGGGGAGGTTCACCTTTCAGCTGGGAAACGACCTCAGAGCCTGACTGAGCTTTTTAGCAGCACATTTAGCAGCGCATACACAAGGAGGATTGACAGCGCTACGACCCTCCCCCTGGCTCTGATTGGTTTGGTTTTGCAGATTCCTATTGTAGCTCAGGCAGGAAGTAAATTCATTTTTCCACTGATTATCTAAATGCTTTCAGGACTTGGTGACAATTTATCAGATTCTGTTTAAAGTGTATGGATACTCTTGAAAACTGCTGTATGAAAATCAGCATTTCCAACCTCCAGGGATCTCGCAGGACGTTTTGGCAGATGATCACCAGAACCACAGGCAGCCGGCGCGGCCTGGGCTCAGGGGACAGTCCTGCTGATACGCTGCAGGGCGTGTCGGGACACGCTCTGATCTCTAGACCTGCAATAGGATCAGCTTCCTCATCTTTTGGTGCAGATCCTGAAAGCCGCCTGAGAGGCTGAGCAATCTGCGGTGAATAAACGGCTCCAGTGTGTTGTGAATGGGCCCCTCTGTGCTAAATCCTGCTCATTATGTGGAGCCATATTAAAACTAAGAGGGGCTGGGGGATAAACATATCTGGTTTGGTAAGAAATGAGCTGTGCTGATATTCCCGTGGGAACAGCATTCCTGGCCGAGGGGATCTGAACCAGCAACCTTCCTAATGTAGCGGCGGATTTGAGCTGATTACGGTTTTCACTGAGCCCCTTCAAGCCTCCAGCCGAGAAAGCTGCAGTAACACTCCAAATACATTCATAACAGGCTAAAATGTTTCTACTTTCACAAAGAAATATGAGCGAAATACACCAAGGATTATTTTAATCACACTGCAAAAACACAAAGTCTTACCAAGAGGTTTGGTTTAGTTTCTACTGCAAGTATCGTAGTAAACTTGAAATAAGAAAAAATTCACAAGTAACTTTCAGGAAGATATTGGTGCTTACTTTAAGTAAATAACTTCTTAATATTGATGGAAAACTCCTAATTCCACAGGCAGATTATTTCACTCCTAACACTGGAAACATGTTTTTCTGTAGACGATACAACTAAAGAACTTATCACCATATAAGCGTTTCATATCAGTTTATATCACTCATTGTCGATATTGATAATTATTAATCAGGTTTTTGTTTTAAATATCTGAAATACACCATCTGGTGGTGTGACTTTTCCTGTTTTATCCTCAGTTTTCACTCCACTGTGTTGTTTCTTATTTCTAAGCATTTATGAAGGACGATAGCAAATCCTTAAGCTGCTGCTTCGCAAGTCACTCAACAGGTTGTTGCTAGGTAACCAAAGAGTGAGGGGGTTGCTAGGTAACCAAAGAGTGAGGGGGGTTGCTAGGTAACCAAAGAGTGAGGGGGTTGCTAGGTAACCAAAGAGTGAGGGGGTTAGTTGATTCCACCAACTTTGCTTCGCTAGCTGACAGGTTGAGCAGCTAAAGGTTTTCATTTGCCTACATCCCCCAAAATGCTTTGCGGTTCTGGATCGAAGTTCAGTGAATATTCTATCAGATGTATTATCTACTGATATTGATTAGATATCAATATATTATTGATTTATTTTCCAGCCCTAGTTATAAGTAAAAACCTAATCTGGCAGTGAAACTGCTACTTCTTTTGTAATCAACATTAAAGAAGCATTGACTTAAAATAAGCTGAAGTAAGTTTGTTTGTCTTATTTCAAGTAAGCAATGAATCACTTAATAAATTAAAAGAGCCCAATAATTTCCATTTGCATGATTTGTTGTTTTTCTCTCTTTCTACCAGAATCTGGATGATAAACGTCTCCAGTCTGGTGTTTTGGTCTCAACTTTTTTTGAGCCCTTTTTTGAAGGACAGTTTTGTTTACAGACTTTATAATTAATTTTGTTTTTGTTATTTTGGATATTTAATGTCTTCCAGTTCCAGTGTTAAATGTTCATTAGGATTTAAAGTTTACTGATCTTTGAGAATGAGTTCTTGTCTTATTATTACCATTACTTTAAAATAAACTCAAATTAACAATATTACCGTTTATGGCGAAAACTTTTTATCGTCCAGCCAAATCTGTAACCGTGACAGAAGTAATTTCAAGTATTTGCTCCATAAACTAGACCAGAAATACTTTGTGTTTTTGCAGTGTGGGTGGTTAAAACTGCTCCAAGATAAAACTGCTGCTAAATGTTTGTAATGCAGTTTTTAGATGAAAACTCTAACGCTGGTCTTAAAGCGTGTGTGTTTGTGTGCTGTAGCCTCTGTGTGAAAGTGCCAGCGGCGTCTGAACGGTTGGCTGTGATGTGTGTCACGGTGGGGGAGGAGTGAACGGAGGTCGGACCAGAGCGGACTCTACTTCAAACTCCGCAGCCCAGATGGTTTTTGGTTTCATTTCTCTGAAACTTTACAGAAAACATTGGCAGTCTTGGGTTTTCCTAACCATGAATTGGACATGCAGGGACTCATAGAACAGCTGTGAAAACGTTTCGGGCATCAGCCGCTGTAAAAAGAGCAACATCAGCACCATCACCTGAACCGAGCCTGCGGGTCCGACCGGTCGGGATGTTTTCTCTGAACCGGACTCTCTCTCTGTCTGTGTTTCCCAGGGATCCGGTAGCCGCCCTGGATGCTGCTGTCGACTACGTTAAGGTAGGAAACACACACATTTTATCTGGGTAGTGCAGAAAGAGGGAAATGTCTGCGGAAATTAAATGTTTGTAACAATTATTCATTTGTTAATCCAAAAAGATTAACAAATTAGTCATTTGTTAATCTTCATGAACAAATTAGTTCATTTTTTTGCAGATGAACTGTTTAAATTGATCATTTTGCTGCTCTTTGTTTTACTGTTCAAATTGTGACATTTTAGTGTAAATTTGGTGTAAAACTGTCTCAGTGCTGCCCTCTGTGGGTTGAACAGGGACTACTGCGGTTTCATTTTTTGATTCTGTAATTTTGATTTTCATGCAAAGTAAACGATACAGAAAAAAACAAACTGTTGGGACTTTACACACATTCCTCCCAGCTTTAGTTGTAAAACACTGGCACCTTGTGAGACTGATGGGTGGCAGACCCACAGCATAATACTGCCAAGTCAAATCTAAAGTTATTTTCAGTCATAATATTTATAATAGCAGAACCACAAGTTTTTTTACACAATAAGGACTTTTATTTAATTAAGCAGATACTTATTCAAAATTACTGCTAAGCTCTTAATCAAAACATGTAAAATGCATCACAGATAAAATTTGATAATGCATATTTCTGTTTATAATGATTTTGTCAGTAGTGTGAGTCAGTGGCCATTAGTTCAGTAATTTAAATTACTGGAGGACCACAAAGTTAATTTAATTAAAAATGCAAAAATTAGTTTATTGTGAATATTTTTGTAGATTTTTAAAAAAATATAAAATCTATTTATCATTAAAGATCCATGGGCTCCTTAATTGTTGCTTTATTAAAAGAAAAATAGGAAATTTAAATGTTTTTGTGTCATCAGTTTTATACACTGCAAAAACAAAATCTGACCAAGTAATTCTGGCCTGGTTTCTAGTGCAAATAGCTTAGTACACTTGAAATAAGACTAAACTAACTTATGTAATTATGAAATAATTCTTTAATATTCATGAAAACGTACCATTTCCTCTGGCAGATTATTTAATGTATAATAAGACATTTTCCTCCTGTTATCAGTGAATTAATCTGCCAGATGAAATAGGAGTTTTTCATCAATATTAAGGAATTATTTACTTAAAACAAGCTTTTATTTCTTGCTGAAAAGTTATGTTTAAGTTGTTTTTCTCTTATTTAAATTCTACTGAGGATTTTTGCACTGGACCAGAAATACTTGGTAAGGTTTTGTGTTTTTGCAGTGCATTTAGTTGGTTTTACTGTTGTATAGCTTGAGGTCAGGGACCGAGCAAAATCATTTCAAGGACCACAAATGGCCCCCAGGCCACAGTTTGGACATTAAATCATGACCAAAAAGCGTCGCAGGTCACCTGCTGCGCCGCTTGCTAAACCGATCGGCCAGATCTGCAGAGACGTTGATCCGATATCTGCTGCACGATCAGGATAATTCGCCCCTAAATCACACAGTCTGACTCTCTGCTGTCGGCTTAACGCAGCTTTAAATCACACACACACACACACACACACACACACACACACACACACACACACACACACACACACCACCTGAGTCTCAGCTTTCAGAGATGATGGCACTGAAGTGATCTTCCTGTTGGCACAGCATCATCTGGCGTCTTCGTTTTCACTCTGAGGTTTTCTGTCCTTCTTTGTTGTCCAGGAAATCCATTTAATCTGAGGGTAAAAGACACAGGGAGGAAAACGTGTTTGAGCCACAATCTGACTACAATATTTATGGTTTAATATTGTTTACTGTTGATAAAAAAAATAATAAAAAAAAAAAAAAAAAATATATATATATATATATATATATATATATATATATATTTTTTATTTGGACTTGCGTTGTTTGTTATTTTGGTTTAAGTCGACCAACACATACAGGCATTCTGGGTAAATACAACCAAAACAAACGTGCTAGCTTAGCGCTAGCACGTTTGAACATGTAACTGGAACCTGCGCTGTAGTCCACTTCCTGCTTTTGGAGCAGTCTCTGGTCCGCTTGGTGTTCACATTCAAACCAAACCAGTTTCCTTCAACCAAACCTAGACGGAGGTTTAACCAGAGTTAAAATCTCCTCCCACTGACTAAATGATAAATTAAAGGTTGGAATTTTCTAGATTTTCCGTTTTAATGTAATAAAAACATCACTAATAATTACAGATGCACCAAACCGATATTTTAACATCTGCATTGGGTACCGGTGACGCTGTGCCTGATCCGTCAATGCAGATCTATTCTGTCTAGTTCTATGCCCTGTGCTCTGAGCTTTATTATTTATTTTACATTACATCCAGAATTTCTAACTGGACTTTCTGAACCATTTGTTGTGGTTTATTTTTACATATTAGGTAGTGAACCTCTAGATTTGGTCAGTTTTAGTTTATAGTTTCTGTTACTTTGACTGTTCTACTCCTGACTGAACAAACTGAAGTTGTTTTCACATGTTTGTAGCTTGTGAAGCTGTTTGTGGGTTTAAGTGAGCTGTACTGCTGCACAGTTATGTCTGTGTTTACAAAAAGGAACATTTTAAGTAAAAGTGGTGCAGCTCTGTGTTGAAACCTCAGATATCGGCATCCAAAGTGAAAAAGTGGATCGGTGCGTCCTTACTAAAGCTCGCCCAGCAAAACGCTTTCCTAACTGCACAGATGATGTCTGTTTCTCTTCTCTGCTGCTTGATTTTTTTATTTTTAACACTTCAGTGTCTCACCACCTCACCCTTGAACCGTCCTCATCTCTCCACCGTCATCATTCCCTCCATCTGTTGGCTCGTATGCGTGATGCTGCCGCCTGGGTGTGAAAAGCAAACCCAGTCCTTCTCACTGGTCAAACTGGGGCTGGGACTCAGTGCTGTTTGTGTGCTGGCTGCTTATCCAGCCTCTATATCTGTTGTGTTGCATAATAGGTGTTGAGATGTGGCTGCCAGCTCTGCCCTGCAGCTCCAGGTGTGTTTGCGTTTTTATTTTCAGTAGTTGGAAAACGGACAGGTGAGCCGCCGACACCGATGGGCGTTTGGTGCCGTAAACCAGGCAACATGTGATTATGAATGGATGTTTTCAATGCAAGTCGTTTTCAGAGAACATCTGCATTAAGAAACCTAGTACTGAAACAATTAATCGCGATTAATCGGTTATTAAAACAATTGAATAATTGATTGATTGATTGTTAGTAGCAGCCGTAGATTAATTAACTGGATTAAAGTTGGATTTGAACCTCATTGAGAAATAAATTAACCCCTCCAACATGACTGCTTAGCTAGATTTATTTGGAGTTAAATATAGAGCCGAATCGATTAATCGTGATTAATCGATTATTGAAATAATACAACTAATTTAATAGTCGCTTAATTGTTAATTGAATTATACAGATTCTCAAAAAGGGCATTTTGTGGAAAAAAAGACAAAACTTTCTGAGCAGCAACTGAATCAAAACTGTACAAAAATATCTGTTTCATATAAGATTAAAAAAATAATTTGTCTGATTTAAAATTCTGCTTTTGAGGTTCTGCTGTAACAAATATTATGACTGAAAGTGGGATTCTGTATTCAAGAGGGCAAACAAATAAGTTTAGATTGGACTTGGCAGCATTATGCTGTGGGGATGCCACCACTGGAGCAGAAAGGTTCAAGTTTTTGTTGATGTTTGACGTATTTTTTAGCTGCAGATATCATTTAGACCAGGGGTGCCCAAACTTTTTTAGGGCAAGATCTTTTTCTCTCAGCAGCCGCCTGAGATCTACCTCATGACACAGACATAAAAATTGCAAATTAAACTCTATTGACTTATTTTATATGCGAATATGCATCAGTTGTAGCAGAAATAATAAAGTGACAGAAAACCTAACGCAGTTTCTTCCTCAGTGAGATTCTGACACTGGGAGCAGCTTACTGGTTTCTCAGTCAGAAGCTGGTTGCAAACCAGCAGGTGTCAGTCAGTCATGGTGGATCTGAACTTTGGCTGCCTTTACCCAGCAAAGGTAAAGGCAGATCTTCAGAAGTCGGGATATAATTAATTTAATTTCACATAATTATCGCTGTAGAATTAGTTAAAACTTAATGAAATATATTTGTCCTATTTGATGTTTGTTGTGACGTGTGCTCACATATAAACGAGGTGATTAGTCCAAATTTATCGTTTATTGAATGTTCAGAAACTGCAGCAGGTGTGATGAGCCACAGCAAAGGTAAACAAAGGTAAAACAACCCGAACAGGTGATCAACTCTAAACCACTCCCACCTTTTTACTTTCTGTCTCTTTGTTGTTTAAGCCACCCGTTGCCGTGGCAACCGCCTGCCGAGCAGAGATTATGTTAAAAACATAACATTCAGTCCGTTACGATATCAGGTTTCTTGATATTTATTCCTCGATTATTAATAAGCCTCTCATGAACACAGCGGTGGTTGAGCAGCTCATTTAAACTCCTGCTCTGCTCTCAGTCGGTCTTCGAGTCGCCTTTTTTTTCTTTTGTTAGTGGAACCGAAACGCACTGAATTGCGCAACACCTTGTTCAACCAATAATTACTGAGATTATTCATTTTAACACTTTTCGTTGATTTTTTTTAATAATTATTCTTTTTTAATGAAGCTACAAACGTTTAGGATCTTAGTGAATATTTCTGATCAGCCTGTCAGAAGAGGAAGTGCTGCTCTCAGCATCCTGGTGGCGATCAGAGTGTCATCTGCCGAGATCGACTCGAAACCTGCCGAGATCGACTCGAAACCTGCCGAGATCGACTCGAAACTCGAAACCTGCCGAGATCGACTCGAAACTCGAAACCTGCCGAGATCGACTCAAATCGACGTATTGGGCACCCCTGATTTAGACTAATGCTAAGTTTTCCCATTTTAGGCAATAAAATATTAATTTCCTCATTTAACAAACAAATTTAATTGTTTTCTTTTAATATATTTCTAACATTGGATAACAAAGGTTTAAATGGTGAAATGAAAACTGCAGAATGTGTCAATTTTTTATTAATAGTCAGAATAATAATAAAAAAAATAATCATTATCGCAGTATAACTGTTGTTGCATTTCTGAAGCTTTTAGGCGCTAAAACCTGCTTTTTATCTGAATAGTTTATTCCGATAGTCAAATGTAAAAGAAGTTTATCTATACAGTAACTTTTAAAAATCTCTGCATGAATATTTTCAGATAATTTTGAGATTTCTGGGGGATTTCCAGTAGTTTGAAGGAGGAAAATGTCATTTAGCGAATTAAGACATCAAAAAGCAGTGGAATGAGTAGTTTCTACTCAGGAAGAAACGACACTATGTGGTTACTGTCAGTGTTCATGCTCAGTTAAATTACTGTTTTACCCGGTAATGAGCGCACGCAGCTGGGCGAAGCATAACGGCCTTTCATGACAAGTTGATTTATTGGTTTCTTCACGATTCTTCTCTTTTCTCCCACTTCTGCTTCTTCTCTTTCATTCCCAGTCAGAGTTGAAAGCAGCTCTGCAGCGTTAGAGCTTTAGAAAACAATAATGCTCTCTGTGCACACATGCAAGTGTGTGTGTGTGTGTGTGTGTGTGTGTGTGTGTGTGTGTGTGTGTGTGTGTGTGTGTGTGTGTGTCGTCTCAGGTTGCAGCACACAAGAGAAATTAATATACACACAAACTGCAGCAGAACAGCTACATTACAGTTTCTCAGTTTGCAGCTCAAACAAACATCGATCTTCTTCCGTATGAAACTCGGGTTCCGGTTTCTAAGGTTCACTGAAAGGTTTGCGGGAGGGCGCCATCTGGTGGCCGTGTGGAGGTACTACATCCACTGCTGGGATGTTTGGTCCAAGACTTTAAGCTGTAATTGGACCAAAATGATCATTATTCAGCTCCATCAGCCAGTTTGTGGTGGATCTGAACTGATCAATTAAATCTACAGATAAATTAGTTATAAGATCTCTTATTAAATTCTGAATATTATATTATCCTGAAAATCTATAACAAACATACATATAAGAAGTAAAGCCAGTTGGGCCACTCTTCTGCTAATCCGCTAGTGGAGCTCATTTTTAGCACTTTTGAGAACATTTAGCACACTTAACTTCCCCTACATTGAATTTTTCCAAAATGCTAACTTACTTTGTAGTTTTGTAAATAAATAGCGTTTTAGCGTAAGCTTTCACTAATAAGTATCATGTTGTTGTTGTTGTGTTTTAGCGTCAGCAAAGCTAATGTTTATAATTACTGCTTTAACGTTACTGCAACTAATTTAGTTAGCAGAACCCACTACTGACCAAAATCAAAGAATTAAAATCTATATGAAGCATTAACATTTATTCATTTTTGATTTGCAACATGATATTTTGGGTTTTTGTCCAGTTGTTTTGCTCGGGTTAAACCACTCTGAAATAAAAATACTTCATAAACCCAGCAGCAGGGAGTTTTACCTGCAGCGTACCTGTTTGTGTGTCGTAGTTTTGGAAAATCAGAACTATTTCCGGATTGTTTTCTGCTGTTTTAGTGTGATGTAACTGTTCCAGTAACTGCAGTGACATTTCTGCTGACGGCGTGAGGTCGGGTTACAGAGACACTACGAGTCAGTGACTCATCACAACCATCACAGGAGCCTGATGAAGGCGGTCGCCGGCTTCAGGCCGCTGCTGATCCTGGATTATCATATAATGCTTTGATTCCTCACAGCAGTCTGGATTTACAGAAATACAAGCTACCAGCCTGAAGCCTCTTGATATTAAACACTACGTATTTACTGATTTTACTTTGCTAAATAATCTGTCCTGCTGCTTTTATAAGTTATTCTTACTTAAAAATATATCCAAACTCTTTCCCCAAAAGGTTTTAGTTTTCATTAAAAAACTAAAAACTTTTTAATGAAAGTTTTAAAACTTTCATTAAACCCCCCTTTTTCCATTAATATGATACAAAATGGAAGAAACTTCCCAATTTCTCCAGTTCGAGAGGCAGAAACGGCTTCGCCTCTCCTCAGTCCCTTCATCACAAACAACCAACGTATAGAAATAGAAAGTTTTGAGTCGATTCCCGTCCCTCCGATGCATTCCTGGACCGTTGGATATGTGTATTTTAAGGTGTACATTCAGCCTAGCTGGTGATTTGGGGCTGATGTGGTCAACAGTGGTGTGTGTGTGTGTGTGTGTGTGTGTGTGTGTGTGTGTGTGTGTGTGTGTGTGTGTGTGTGTGTGGGACATGCATTTCCTTCCTGTATCGTCGGAGAGTTCACTGTAATTACAGTGGGGATATTCCCCCAGCCCGGGTGTCTCCCTCTGTTTGTCGGTAGAAACGTCGTCTTGTTTCGCTGTGTGTTGAGTTTCCATCTCTGCTGCGTTCGCCGTCCATTCGCAGCGAGTTTGGTGGGAAAGTTGGGGCTGTAATTGCGCGGCAGTGATTTAGTCATAGCTATTCATCAGGGCAGAAAGGGAGAGCGGGACGTTTGATCTCTCTTTGAAAACTCTGCACCCTTTTTCTGGGCTATTTTCAAAACACAAGAGCTGAGTCATTTTCTAAAAGAGTACAGAAAGATCTAAACTAAAAGATCTTAAAATACATTTCTGAAAAGAGAAAAACGGTCTCTGTTATTTATATCTAATAGCCCAGTGGCTGAAAAGTTCAGGGTTTTTTCTGATCTCAACTCTTTTTGAATTGTCTGCTCTTTGCATGAACAGGGAAATGGAGGAGGTGGATTCCCATTTCAAGATGCGTAAAGCTTTTTCTACTTTCTGCTAAAGTGAAAAAACAAAACAGAAAAACATTTTTTGCAGTGGCAGTGTTTCCATTAACGCTGCAGTATTTAACTTTTATAAAAAATCATTTTTACATATTTGTTAAAAGTGTCACTGTTTTGTGACAGATAATCTGTGAAAAGATCGACTGCCGATTGTCGTCTAAAGAAATGCAACAGTCCTGACCAATAACAACCAATCAGAGTCAGGAGGCGGGTCTTAGCGCTGTCAATCATCCTCATGTAGTCACTGCATCCGCTGTCATTGGTGGCCATGCTAACTAGCCTTAGCATTCACAACATGGTATGCTAGCTACAGCTTAACATAAAGCAGGTTGTAAGTGGTTTGAGCAGCTCCACATGAGATTGTGATTGACAGCACGAAGCCCCGCCCTCCGGAAGCCCCGCCCTCCGGAAGCCCCGCCCTCCGGAAGCCCCGCCCTCCGGAAGCCCCGCCCTCTGGGTCTGATTGCACTGGGAGACGCAGAGGAGATCATACCAAACAGTTTCAACAAATATGTAAAAAAGAAAATATATATTTCCATGAAAGTGAAATACTGCAGCTTTAAATAAGAAATTAAATTTAAATCACATGTGAATAAACTTCTTCCTGTGATAAATCAATAAAAACCATTAACTTAAAGTAGCTTTTTTCTGTTTGCAGTTTAAATACTTTTACTCATAATCCTTTGAAGATGCACTGATTTCCTTGACTTTAGGTGATCGGCTGATATTTGCATGTGAAGCCGATCTTATTTATCTTAGAAAAGGTCTAAAGGGTAGAGGGTTAGGGTTAGCCCTCCTTCTTCTTCTCTTCCAGAGAGTTTACTGACAGGCCGGGCCACCAGGCCAGTTAACAAATGTTGCCAACTCAGCGACTTTCTTACAACATTTTCGGCAAAAAAAATAAAATAAAATGTAATCAGCCAAAGAAACTGCAGTCAGTGCTTCCCTTTGCTTACGAATTTTACTAACAGCTGATATAACAAAGCTGTGATCTGTGATCATTTCAGCTGAAATAGAAACTAAAATAATCAGTTTTGTGTAGTGCAGCTTTTTTTGTCCTGCCATGTCTTTTCCAGAGCAGCTGAGGGACATTTGCCTCCGGGCCACTCCCAGGCGATCCACACTCGGCTGGATCAAACCTCACCACACGGTCGAGGCCCGGAGGGGGCGGGGCTAACTGGGGAAAACGTGATGTAAACGCTGAGAGGAGTTCACTCTGCAGGGGACTGTGGAGCAGAGAGCAGGTTCTCTGCCATGGATTTTCCTCTCGTCTGAGCTGAGCCTTTAGTTTTCAGCTGGACAGAAGCTGGAAACGTTGTCGTCTGTTTGGTTGCATCCTGGAAACGGTTGTGATGACGGAGCGATGCAACTTGAAGGCTCTGACAGCGGCTCTGTGTTGCTTCTACCACAGGAACTCGGTCATCACCAGGAAGGTGAGACGAGCTTTACCTCCTTCACCAGAAGCATGAAATCTGCTTTCTGGAGCTCTTTTGATCACTGCTTGCTGTTTATGGCAGACCACAGGAAACTGGCCGGTCCACTCAAAGCAGGTGTCCAAAGTGTGGCTTGCGGGCCATTTGTGGCCGTTGGAGTGATTTTGTGTGGCCCCCAAATGCAAATCAAGGATTAAGCAAATTTGGTGCAGATGCAAACTTTTTATTGGTAACCAGGGTACAATTATAATCAATTTTATTTTCTCACGGTAGAAAATGTTGAGTACAACAAAAAATATTTGTCTTTTATACCAAACTTTTATAATAATAGAGACTTTTACTGTTGTGCCTAAATCAACTTTGATTTGGCGTATTGGCTAAACATGTCAGCTGCTGTTCTTGTAACTGAATAAATTTGTTCTTCAGGTCCAAAAGGATTTGAAAACCAGATTAAATTTCCTTTAATACAGAAAATGAGTAAAATTATTTGGAAGTTTTGGATCTATAATGAATAAAATCCCTTTAGATTCTCTAGTATTATTGTTTCTTTTTCCCTTTCTTTTAGTTTCACTGTTGTCTTGATGATTTTGGCCCACTCTGCGTCCACTGAAAACAGAAAATCTTACCAAGTATCTTTGTCTGGTTTCTCGTGGGTCGTTAAGTCGCCTCTCATTGTCGGTTTGGTAGAATAACTTCTTTCATCATGCAGCGATAACTGGTTGTATGCTAACAACACGCTAGCTAAAGTTAAGATGACAAGATAAATGCGGGTAACCATGGTAACCAGTTTAAACGCGGCCCGGTTCTTTCTGCAGTCAAGTAGCGCGTCCATCCGCCGTGTTTGCAAACAAATAGTCCGTCTGTCTGTCTCGCTGCAACTTAATGAAGGTTAAAGCAGAAGTCCTTGGTCAGACTGTTTCTGCAGCGTCCCTCTCTCTGCCCTGCGGACAACAGGGACGCGTCCAGCTGGAGGAAAATCTAATCAGGCTGAATGCTCCGTCTCTTCTCAACACTGCGCTTTTATGGCTGGGACCAGACGAGCCCCAGAAACGCCGCCTGTGTGGCTGTCTGGCTCCGAGTGTGAGATCTATGTTGACTTCATCCGTAATGGCCGCTGGCGGACAGACGAGGCAGTGTGCCGGGATGAGCGGAGCTGCCGGCCGGTCGGCGTGCGGATGACACGGTCCTGAGTCGAGGCGCTGCGTGACGTCACTATGAATGTCATTGAGTTAAGTGGAGGAAGTCGGTTCTGTTCGGTTCGGTTCTATCAGCAGCACCTGTGGTTAAAACAGAAAGGAAGGAAAACGGATTTGATTCTGCAACATGAGTTCAAGTTAGAGGAAACTCGGAGATAAGGTTCTGTTACGGTGCAGCTGTGCTTTTAAATGTTTCTTTTTCACTTTGCAGTATGCAACTTTTATTTTTTTTAAAAATGGTTTTGCATATTTATTGAAACTGTCATGTTGTGACAAAATGAGACAGATAATCTCTGAAAAAATCTTTCTCCACTTCCTCCCTGAGCTCCTACCTGGTCTGAAGGAATGCACCAAAAACAACCAATCAGAGCCAGGAGGCGGGTCTTACTGCTGTCAATCAACCTGGTGTACTCGCTGCTAAATGCGCTAATGGAGGAGAAACGTCTGACAGTTGCATGAAAACCGTAACTGTCGTCGTTGATGGCCATGCTAGCTAGCATAGCCATGCTAGCTATGAACATATTATAACTATTGCCATTACAAGCTGTGAGAATGAGAGTTTCAACAAATTTGTAAGAAAAATATATTTTCTATAAAAGTTACATACCGCAGCTTTAAGACCAAATATTTTGAAACATGGGCCAAAATTGTCAAATCAAAAGTACTATATATATATATATATATATATATATATATATATATATATATATATATATATATATATAATTTTTTTATGTAGCGAAGGAAAGTTATTTACCGTAGATCCAAAGCATCATAATGTTTTTACATGTTTGATGTATTTTTAAAAGCCTCTAGTTTTCAAACTATTTTACGTTCTTTTGAGCAAATTTATTCTCACTTTGAAAAACAGGATTTGTGTCACTTCCTTTCAAAACCTTTGCCATTTTTTACAAGTTCGATACATTAAATAAAAACTGATTTAGGTGCTGAGAGCAATAAAAATGTCAGATGTACATGACCCTGTTCAGCAGTTCTGCAGCAAATAAATGTTAATGTAAAAGGGAACAGAGAAAAAGGAAAACATGATATAAAGATGATCTACTCAGCAGTGGGAAGTTCAGCTTTCCTGTACTCCTAGAGACTCAACTAAATGTATTTAAAGGCATTTTCATGGCGTTTTTGTGAATCTGATGATAAAAGTAGAAAATATTTGAATAAAACCAGAATTAGTGGTGAAACTCAGAAAAGCAGCACCAGAGCATCACATCCTTTGGGTTGCTAATCTTTTAGCTCTTCAGCTTTTCCACCCCGTCCTTCATCTGTGCTTCCTTTTCTCCTCGCGATCCAAAAAGCCAGAGGACTTGTTCCGCTCCGCTTTATGCTCCTCCGTCTGGCTCCTTGGTCGGCAGCTTCCTGTGCTTCACAAATCGAAACTTATTCCTTTAGAGAACATGAGATGGTGGTTTCACTTCATTTACTTGCATGTTTTTTGTTGTTTTTCTGTCTAAAACTTTACACCTTATCATCCAAGTTGAGAGAAACTTTGCTATAAAATTGAAGCTGTGTCAAACTGAAAATAACCCTGAAGATTTCTCAAACACTGAGGCACCAAAACCTTCACCTGGCAGGAAGTTTAGTAACTTCATGTCTCCACATTTTGTGTGTTTGCAGCCACAAACTCAGGGATCACATGATGATTTCTGAAAATCATCTTTCGACCCTGAACTTGACGTCTCATGGCCCCCTGGGGTTAATAAAACTGCTCAATAAAAGTAAAGAGTAGAGCTACTCCTAAAGTAAAAACGGTTGCTCCAGTAAATGTAACTAGTTTCTACCCATTTTGGTGTTCAGAGATGATTCCTCTGCAGCTGAAGAGTAAAATACTAAATGGTTTAATGACAGGAAGCTTTAGGTAAACAGGAAGTCCCTGATGGTCCGTCCAGTCATTTAGTCTCATCAGCTTTGATCAGGATTGTCCAATTACTGTCCTTAAAGGGCCGGCGCCCTCATGCTTTAGATGTTTCGCTGCTTCAGCACAAACAAACTCCTTCAAGCTTCTCAGAAAAACGTTGTTTCTCATTCACAACGGGAAGGATTCGCTGAGTAATCAAAAATAGGTTTTCTTTATTTCTGTTTTTGCATCACTGGGAAATCATTTGGCAACTTTTCAACAATTGACAGGAAGACGAATCCTTAATGCTCAGTTCCTGATGATGAAACTCAGAAATTTACAGTGAAAGAAGCAAAGATGAGACGGTTCGAAGTAAAAATAAAAAATTATTTAGTAAAAATGCCACTCAAGACATCAATTATTTAATACTTAAAAATTACACCATCAGATGGACCAACAAGTAAAGTTATGTGGATCTTTTTTAATATCTTAAGGACCAAAATGAAAATAATTTTGGTCGAGTTTCTTAGTCCACTTGAAATAAGAACGAAAAATTATTTTAAAAGTAACTTTTCAGCAAAATACACAGTAAATAATTCCTTAATAATGATGGAAAAGTTCTAGTTCCACTGGCGCCGTTACCTAGCAACCCCAGCCAAGCCCAGCCCGTTACCTAGCAACCCCAACCAAGCTCGGCCCGTTACCTAGCAACCCAGTTCTAGTTCCACTGGTAGATTATTTCACTTATAACAAGACGTTCTTCCCATATCAGTGAAATAATCTGCCAGTTGAACTGGAACTTTTTCATCAATATTAAGGGATTATTTTGTTAAAACAAGCTCCGATATCTTTCATGAAAAGTTACTTATAAGTTATCTTTGTCTTATTTCAAGTGTAATTAGATATTTGCTCTAGAAACTAGACCAAAAATACTTGGTAATATTTCTTGTTTTTGCAGTAGAGCTGGTTCTTGGAGGGAAATGAATCCCAGTTGGTTCTTTATGCTTCAGTTCATGTGTTGCTGTACATGAAGCCAATCAGCCTGTCAAACACTTTCTGTGTTACTAATATTTATTTTTATTTTTCCTTCAATTTCTCCTTCCTGAATCTGTTTGTCCTGAGCCGTCAATGATCTGCTATTCATGACTTCATAAATTCAGAATAACTCTCTGCATTGAACTGGGAGCGCAGCTGCAGACAGAAAGCTGTTGTTTTTTTATTGTTGTGGCCGTTGTAAAAACTTCACATCTAGGAGAACGATCATTAAATCATCCAGATTAATACAAAAACAATCCATGACACTTAAGGAGCGAAGCACAGAGAAAAAGCGTGAGGAACCTCTTCCTGGTTGAGGATCAGGAAACTGCTGCCATCTTTCATCCTGTCCAAATTTCACATGTTTTTAGATTCTCCAGAAACTTCCTGGCAGAGAAAGAGAAACTCCACCAAGTGGGGGCGTTTTGCGTCACTCTCACTCGCTTTTGTTTATGTGCGTCAGGTTGAGGTGTGTGTGGAGGCGGGACCATGTGGGCGGGCGGGGACGTCATATGACGTCGCGCAAGGTGAGGCAGAGCAGAGCGACGGAGCGACAAAACCTCCGTGGAGGCAGACAGAGAGAGATGGAGTTTTATTAGTGAGCCAGCAGAGTGTGTGTCGACGTGTGTGTGTGTGTGTCGACGTGTGTGTGTGTGTGTGTGATGAAGTGAGGAGGAGGGAACGATGCAGAGACCCAGCAGCTGTTCTGTAAGTCTGTCTGTTTTCATCTGAAGATGGTTAGAAATAATCTCCTTCTGTTTCTACTTTTGCCTAAAAGTAGAAACACTGTAATGTGTTTTGGTTGATATGCGTTTCTCATGCGCCAAGAAAATAGATGGGAGAGTCTGAGTGTCACAGTTTGGGTAAACCCAAGGGTGTCCAAACTTTTCATCATGTGGGCCAAAATCGTCTCCTCAGAGTAGTGAAAGTAGAAAAGTTTCCAGTAAAAGTCTCTGGATAATTCTGGTTCTGCTTATTATAAAATCTTGGATATAAATAGATGAATAGTTTGTGTCTGTAATATTTTTAAAATAGAAAACATAAAAAGTTTTAGAAACAAATTTGAATCTTGAGTTGCAGTCGGGGACCACAATGTGTTGCACGTTGAAGCACCAAAGTGCTTTACATCATAAAATCATAAAACTGTAATCAGGTTTACTGGGAGCCGCAAACAAAACGCTAAAATAAAACACTGTTATAAAAACCGTAAAGCGTAATTATTAACAAATGTTGGAGTTGCTGATCAGAAGCGACTCTGACCAGCTCAGTTTTAGCTCTGGGTTTGAAGTGGGTCAGTGTTTCGGCTGGTTTGCAGTTTTCTGGATTTTATTCTGGTTCTGGGGATTGTTACGTACCGCTACTCTCAGCCTTACTCGTTCTTCTTCTTTTGACTCGTTACGGGAGAGAAGGGCCGCAACAACAGGTACGTTTGGCTGTAAACAAAAGGAAAAGAGAAAAGAAACAAAGCGGGCAGCTGACAGACACGCAGTGCGGTTGGGGCTTATCTTAGCTGCCGATCTGAGCTCCTCCACCAGCCGACATCCTTGAGAAGGGCGAGCCGCACAAGACGACGTGTTCAGCAGTTGTTTTCTTATTATAGTTTTTCTCTTTTCCTAAAAACGCTCTACTTGTGATTTCGTCGGTTGTTGGTCTTAGCAGGCGTGTAAACTCCTGGTGCTAACAATCCTTTAGCATCCAGCCGGTTTATCCAAAACATCAAAACAAACTTCATCCCGGCCAAAACATCCGACGCTCCCCTCCGGGTGGATCCGTCCCGAGGTGAAGGTTCTTTCTCCTTCCCGCGCCGCATTCAAGTTATTTTTTCTTAACAAAGCTCAGCTGCTGCAGCAGCTTCAAACACGCATCACTCATCTCCCTCAGGTCAGGGGTGCCACCAGCCCGGCTGAAAACCTTGGGCTGACTGCGGTCCCCTTAGCCACACGTTGATCTGCTCTGAGCCTCTGTTTCATCCTATAAGTGTTTTTTCATTAATATTAAGGAATCATTGACGTAAATCAAGCTCCTGTATCTCACTGAAAAGTTACTTCTAAGTGAGTTTTGTCTTATTTCAAGAGCAGTAAGATATTTGCTCTAGAAACGAGATCAAAATACTTGGTAAGGTTTTGCGTTTTTGCAGAATTACTGATGTTTATTAAGTGTGTGTAACTGTTTTTGTAATGTTTTCTCTTGTTTCATGAAAAATGGATAATGGGGATCCAAATAAACAAACAACCAAACTTTAAATAAATAAAAAATATTTCTTTAATGGATTTCCATGTACAAAAATACAAATTTTGTTCAAGCCTGAGCCAAAGTGATGGACATTATTCAGTTAAAAAGTTGTTCTTGCAGTAAAATGACTAAATCAAAGTGGTGAAACTGTAGAACCAACATGTCTGAGTATAAATGGTCTGAATGGACCTCTGGTGGACTCACAGGACCTGACCGGTTCCTCCCGTCTTGTCCCAGTTCTCCAGGGACCAGTTCATCCTGGACTGTTCGTTGGAGAAGCTGCGCAGAGAGCTGGAGGAGGAGCTGAAGATGAGCAGCGAGGAGCCAAGGAGTCACGCCTGGTACCACGGCGCCATTCCCAGACAGGTACAGCACAAAAACAGAGCCACTCCCTTTAAAAGCCCAGTTGGAAACCAGTTGGACCGGGCCGGGTGTTATTAGCCTGCAGCGCTGCGACTGCAGGCAGATTACTGGGTGTGTTTGGACCCCAGCAGCAGCAGCGGGGCTCCTCCAGGCTGCCGTTCAGAAAGCCGTCTTTATGCCCTGGTTTGTTGTGCTGGATGACTGTGTGAGGGTGGCTGTGTTCTCCAGGGCTGAGATGTAATCGCTTTTAATAAGCTGCTTCCCTTGGCTAAACTACCATTGCACTCTAAACAAACAGTGGCCTAATTAAAGCCCTGAGTTCAGCATGAAGGTTTGTGTGTTTCTGTGGGAAAGAAAAAGAGTGAAAAGCTGCAACTGAAACAGAGAAACACAAGAAAACAGGACAAAACAAGCTTACACTGCAAAACACTAAACCCACCGAGTCAATTTGGTTCAGTTTCTGGTTCAAATATTTAGCAAAGTTGAAATGAGAGAAGAATTTGGGTGGGGTTGCTAGGTAACGGGCTGGACTTGGCTGGGGTTGCTAGGTAACGGGCTGGACTTGGCTGGGGTTGCTAGGTAACGGGCTGGACTTGGCTGGGGTTGCTAGGTAACGGCTCCAGGCCTGTCACTTGTGAAATAGGTTAAATAATCCGCCAGTAAAACTTTACTTTTAAAAATCAATATTAAGGAATTATTGACTGAAAACCAGCCTCTGTAACTTTCTGTAAAGTTTCTTGTTAGTTTTCTCTTATTTCAACTGAACTAAGATATTTGCATGAGAAACTAAACAACAATACTTGGTGAAATTTTGTGTTTTTGCAGTGTAGGTGGCTGGATGGATATAAAACTAATACATGTATAAAATGTTAAAAAAATAAAAATAACCTCCCTCAGTAACAACACTGAACAATTTAAGTTATACTTTTATTTTTGGAGACAAATCTTCATAAAATCACCCTGATTATCTGTTTTCGCTCTGTCTGTCTCTCATAGTAGAAACACGTTATAGTTATTTAATTTGCTATCATGATGCTCAGGTCTATGTTTTGACATTGTAAAATTTGCTTCCTTGGGAATCAATAATATAAAATTGAGTGAAATCCAGATTTAAGAAAAATATTTAATTTAATAAACTTTGCAATTAAACGTTTCCATCCTGTCACATACGGGCAAAAAGTCTGACTTGTGTCTCCTGCTTGACACGTCAGTTAAAAAGAAAGCCAACATTTTACAGCATGCTAACATTTTACAGCATGCTAACATTTTACAGCATGCTAACCCTGCAGAGCAGCCGGCGCTGCGCTCAGGAAACTGGTTCCAGCCACCCAGACTGCCATCATCAGCCTTAATGAAATGTTTGGCCTGCAAACAGCCGCTGTGTGACCGAGTGTTTGTGTAACCGCTCTGCAGGTCGCAGAGGGCCTGGTGCAGCGTGACGGAGACTTCCTGCTGCGGGATTCGCTCTCCAGCCCAGGGAGCTTCGTTCTGACCTGCCAGTGGAGAAACGCCGCGCAGCACTTCAAGATCAGCAAGAAGGTACGGAGGCTCAGGCCGGCTGCAGGACTCGGGCTGCTCTAAGATTAGAGCTTTCCATGATCGCCAGCTTCCACAGCATGAAGCCGTTTCATCATTTTTGTTTTATTTCCTGTTTGACTTTGCAGGATTAAATAAACCTACAAAAACAGAAACTGTTTTAAGTTGCTGGTGTCCAAACCTTTTGCAGCCAGATTCCCACAGCGGGACAAACTCATGAGCCGTATTGTCTTTCCAACGAAAAACGAAAATTATTTTCTTCTTTTTATGTGATCGTATGGAAAATGAATGATCAGGCAACTCTTTTTCTCAACTTTCTTTTTTTTTGGACTTTTTAAAAATTTTAATTTTTTTTTTTTTTTTACTTTTTTCTAAAAACTCACTTTTTTTTTCCTTCAATCAAATCAGAATTTGAGACCAAAAGTCAGAATTTTGAGTTTGATGTCAGAATTATTCATTTGTTCAGTAGCTCTAGTCCTATTTTCTGTAGCTCAGCAATAAATTAAATACAAAATATTTAATTTAAGCAAAGTGGCTGTTTTTTGTCTAAATAGATGATAAACTGTTTCCTAACTTTTCTGGTATTTTTTTTCAGTTCATTTGATCTAGAAAATCATTTAATTTATTCCCAGCAACAAAATCGGATCTTTCTTCAAAAATACTTCGCCAACTAACCAAATTTAACAAAATAATTTATGTTTTTTTGAGTAAAGTGTCACTGGATGTTTTGATATTAAAATCAAAATAATATCAAAAGAAAAATACTTTGTTTTCCAGATATATTACAATTTAATTACAGAACTAATTTAAATTTTCATGCTAAAAAATCAGAAAAGTGCCGACTAGAGGGCCAAATTTGTATCGTTCTTGAATTGAAGTTGCCACACAAAATTGTTCCAAGGGCCACAAATGGCCCCCGGGCCACAGTTTGGACACCCCTGTGAATCTGGTGAATTCATCTGAACGTGTCAAACAGCATTCCACTGCATTCCTAATAAAAACAAACTCACACCGTTTCTCTCCAGGTTTAAGTCATATTTTCATTTATTTGACCGTTTATACTCTGCAGATCCACGTTTTTGTTTTTCACGCCTTTAAATGTATCAGAGAAAAGTGAAGTTTTGTTTGTTTTGGTCTCGTTCAGGTGGTGATCCTGAATGAAGCGTACTCCAGAGTGGAGTACCTGTTGGATAAGGAAGGGTTCGACAGCGTTCCTGCGCTCATCAGATTCTACGTTGGCAACAGAAAACCCGTCTCACAGGTAGTTTAACAAGTTAAGGTTGTTCTAATGTTTCTGCATAATTCATATGCTCAGTTTTGACCAGCTGATATTTATGTAGTAGGATGTTTTTAATAATTACATAGATTTCAACTAAATTAATTGCAGGGTTTTTTACATGCAAAAGTCTGAAACCGGAACCTTTGTATTCATGTGTTTCTGATACGGCATTAAAATCTGATGCACAAGTGACATCCGCTAACAACAAAAACTCTTCTTGGCTCACTGGGGTTAATATTTTCTTCAAACTCAACCAGATGGGGAAGTTTCTGAAGCAAAAGGCTGTTGCTGTGTTCAGAGGGCGTTAGCCTAGCAGCAGAGCTGCGGTAAATTTGCATCAAAAAGGGTTTTTGAATTGAAGATGTTGCTTATTTTGTCAAATAAAATGTGATTAATTGATACCAGACCATGTAACTCAACTTAAAATCATAATTAATCCCCACCACTGGCTTTGATCATCAATAAAACTGTAAATCTTCCTCCCCACTCCAGGTTGTTGGTGCCATCATCTTCCAGCCGATCAACAGAACGTTCCCGCTGCGCTACTTGGAGGAAAAGTATGGACTGTCGAGCAACCACAAAGAGGCGGGGCTGATGGTGCAGGAGAGGCGGAGCCAGAACCGCCTGAGCCTCAACATCACCAACGGTCACGATGGCGCGCACGGCGTCCACGACGGCCATCACGGACGCCAGGACAACGGCTTCGTCCGCGGCGCCCAGCTCAGGTCAGCGCACCACTAACACAGATCTGTCACCAAACCTCCACATTCCTCCGTGGATTCAGTTAGGTCTTTTATTTTCACTAGTTGCTTCGTTTTAAACCGTCAGCTGTGTTTAAATAGCAGAGATGATTCACTTTTTCTAGTGAGATGGCTAAATACTCACTTTTTCTCCAGTTTTGCCCAAACTGAAGAAAAAGTGAATTATTTTTCACTTTTTCTCTAGTTTTGGAGAAAAAGTGAAAAGCCTCACTGCTCAGATGAGGCTGAATCTGAGCAGTGAGGCTGATTTCAGCTCATATATCTGTGTAAACTAACAATAATTTGTGCGTCTAAATCTCACAGATGTTTGCTCAATTCATATTCTGACGTACTCTGATAAACTCTTCCTCTGAACTCAGCTCTGGTTTTTCTGCTCCTTTTATATGGAATGTCAGAAGGGCCAAAAATAGCACAACATTCGATGTCTTTCTCATGCAAAGTATACTTTTTCATGCTCTGCGTGAGACAAATCAAGAAAAATGCAAAACTAAATGTTAAGATTTAGGAAAAACTAAAGTTTAGTATAATTGAAGCCTAAGAATATAAAGCTAAGCTTACAAATATGTTTACTGTTTGCATTTCAGGCAGTATCTCTACATTTCACAAGCTGCTATGTAAAATATGTAATAGTTTTATATTAGTTTTTTACAGATAGACTCAGTCAACTCATTTCCCACCCTGACGTCCAGAGGGAACCCAGAGGGTTTCCAACAGTCCTGATACATGTAAAGTTTTCCTCTTCCTGTCAGGTTGACGGATCGCTGCGGCAGTCAGCCAGCGAGTCTCAATCAAGTCCAGGAGAAGCGACGTCCCCTGAAGGCGCACCAATCAGAAAGCTTCCTGCCTCTGGGTGAGAAGTGAAAAATGTTAGCTTGCTTCACTTTGCATACAGAAAATGTGTATTTTGGTCAGAAAATCACAAACTTATTAACCATAAATACTTAAAACTAACAGAAGATGCTCAACACTATGAGCCCTTCAGTGTGAAAGCAGGATTTTTTCCACTTATCTGTATAAAACAAATTCATGTTAAATCCAATAAATGATGTGTTATTAAATCTATTTTTTATAACTCTGGCATCTTTTTTCCTCCGTAGGAACCAAACAGCCGCCCCAGCAGTCCGCGGACCCGCTGCTCACCAGCCCCGGACCAAAGTCTCCGGTGTTTCGGACCGGCAGTGAGCCGGTCCTGAGCCCATCAGCCCAGCGTAGATCTGCAGAACCTTTAGCAGGTAAGCAGACATTTTATATCAGCTCTTAATAAAAGTAAATATATTTTTACTGTTTTATGTAGTAATAACTGTGTTTAAGCTTAAGCTCACACAGAGCTAAAAATCAAAGTCACTATTTCTAAGAATAAAGGTTTGTTCACACCAGCTTTAACCCAACTCCAGTCCGTTTGCCTAGAAAGTCTGGTTCAGTTTGAGTAGCAGTGAATGCTAATCAACCAACAACGCTAGCTCTGGTACGCCGACAGACCACGCTTTAGGTTCATTTGAAGTGAACTCTAGTGCGATTTGAATCCATATGTAAAGAGACGGCTCCAAAAGCCGGAAGTAGACTGCAGCGCAGGGCATTCTGGGTAAAAACAACCAAAACGAACGCGCGAGGCTAACACTAGCGGGAGAAATGACTCATGGTCTTTTACCAACGACAAAAGAGAAATCCTACAACTGCCATTTTGGTTTATATTTGGTGAAGAAGGAAGGTGCACTGAGTATTTCCTTCAGAGGTTTTGGTGTCGTTTCCTTCAGTTGTTCTTGGTGCAGCGCCCCCACAGGTCAGGAGGGGAACAGGTTTTATAAAGGCTTTATTTTGTTTGTGTAGTTCAGTGTGAAAATGTGTCAAATGTTGCAATTTTGGTCCCAAATTGAACCGAATCTACCAAACTATCAGGTGTGAGGACTCCCTTCTGGTTCAGATCTGAAATAAATGTTTTAGTCTCACTTTAAAAATCTCCTGTGAGGGTTAATATATTGCTGACAATTTAAATTTACTCTTGAAATCAAGTTGTGCGTTTTGTTGATCATATTAAATCTAAATGTGTCTGCAGGTCAAGCGATCCGTGGTTCTGACAGCCAGCTGTGTCCCAAGCCGCCTCCCAAACCGAGCAAAGTGCCCCAGACCCGGCTGCCCCTCATGCCCCCCTCAGGCAGCTCTGGGGAAAACCCGGCTTCCTCCAGGAGGAGTGGAGGTGAAAACTGGATGTGTTTCCACAGTCGTAGCTCATTTATTCAGTATTTCAGTTCACAGCTGGATGTGTTTCTTGCTCTGCAGCTCCGCCTGTTCCTCCTGTGAAGCCCCAGAAGTTTCGACATTTTCCTCTTGCAGATTCCCGCGGTCCGTCCATCTCTGTGGTTTCTCCTCCTGGAGTTGTCCAGTGTCCAGACTCGGAGCTGGCATCAGGAAGGACGGAGCGGCTGCATCCGCGCCCAGCCGACCTCCGGTCCTGCAGCCCACCGGAACCGGACTGGGACCGCCAGACGTCATGTAGCTACGTGGAGCGGCTGAAAACCGACAGCGAGGCGGCGGGCCAGAAAACGCTCGACAGAAGTTCCTACCACCACGCCATCGCCGCTTTGGAAAGCACGAGCGAGGAAGAGGAGGAGGAGGAAGAAAAGGCAAGGCGCGGGTTTCTGCGGCCGGTTCTGGAGACGGAGTCGGCGTTCAGGCCGGCGGAGTTTGAGTCACGTCTGCTGCCGCCTGAAAACAAACCGCTGGAGATGGCGGTGCTGAAGAGAGCGAAGCAGCTGCTGCTCAGCCACGACCACCAGAGCATCGCCACACACCTGCTGATGGCCAACTGCCAGGTACACACACACACACACACAGAGAGATACACACACACACACAGAGATACACACACAGACACACAGAGAGATACACACACACACACCGTTTGCAGAGCAAGTAAAAGTAGAAATACTTTGTTTGTTCACTCAGGTATTTCATCTGGGGGTATGAATACTTTTGGGCCTCCTGTCTTACAAGCTGCAGCAGTTGATAGTAACTAGTTACATTTACTTCAGTAACTTGTTAGGATCATTTTTCTTTTCTTGAGTCTTTTTATCATGAAGTTTTTCTGCTCTTACTCAAATGTTACTTCAAACTACCGTTACTCCTGATTTTAGTTTCTCTGTCAGAAAATGGAGTCAAATTTCTGTGGCATCAAATTAACCCAACAAAAACGACGCAGATGTTTTTCCACTGAGTGATAAAATGTAATTAAATTAAATTAAATTAAAGAGCTTCTTGTAAAAACTGTTGCTGCTGCTTCAGGTGGCGCGAATCCTCGGAGTGACTCCTCAGGTCAAAGGTCGGATGGGCGTTTGCTCGGGTCTGGAGCTGGTGACGCTGCCGCACGGCCGCCAGCTGAGGCTGGACCTGATGGAACGGTAACCATGGCGACCGCAGCGCCTTGTTTTCATTGGTGAGGGTTTTATGACGGCACCAGGAACGTAAACAGAATCCGTCCCCCAGGCACCACACCATGGCGATCGGCGTCGCCGTGGATATTCTGGGATGCACCGGCACCTTGGAGGAGCGGGCGTCCACCTTGAATCGCATCATCCTGGTCGCCATGGAGCTGAAGAACGCCGTCGGCGATCTGTTCGCCTTCTCGGCCCTCATGAAGGCTCTGGACATGCAGCAGGTAGCAGAAACACAACGTTCACATCCAGACTGGAAACAATAAAATATCACTTTTCATGTGATGATTTTAAATTTTACGGCTCTTTTAAAGTTCACCAATAATTCATAGTTTAAAATCATCATTCAGTTCATTCCAGTTTCATGCCTCAAAATTACAATGTGCCATTACTTTTGCTTTTTAAAATGGGAAACTTCCTCTATATGTCTCAAAATGTCAGAGTTTTTGGAGGAAACTTTCCTAACACTCAGCCAAAAAGACGTTCTGAAAGATAATTGTGCCGTCTGTGGTTGTGTAGGCCTCTAGGGGGCGCCAACATGTGAAACATTGAGCGTTTCCTCTGATTTGCTGTTTGTTGTTTCTGGTGCAGATCAGCCGCCTGGAGGAAACCTGGACGACTCTACGAAGGAATTACACGCAGACCGCCATCAGCTACGAGAAAATCCTCAAACCTTTCTACAAGAGCCTGTATGAAGGAGAAGGTAACAGGAAAACGGGCATTTCAGAGCCTCAAAGTGTTTTCTGCTCTGAGCAAAGGAGACGAAACAAACTACTTGCTGCATTCTCATTGGTTGTGCAGCAGGCCCCATTTCTGCTTTTCAAAGATGTACGGTTGTATTTTTGCAGCCATTTTCACCATGTTTTGTGTCGAGATGTAATGAACACATTTGTGACACCATAGATCTATCTTAACCTGTTGAAAGAAGCATCATAGGTCCATTTGAATATAATATGGAACATTTTCAGGACCTAAACTTTCTCTTCCAGCCTCCTCTCCGTCTGTGGTCTGCATCCCTCTCCTCCTGCCTCTGCTCACCCTGATGGAGCGACCGTCTACCACGCCCGAAGGCGTGGAGCTCTGGGAAACCAGCGACCAGGGATGTGACATCATGCTGCGCCACCTGGAGGCGGCGCGCGACGTCGCAAACAACGCTCAGAGCTACACGTCCAACGCAGAGAAGATCCTAGAAGGTAAATAAAAATAAAATCCTAGCTCCATTTACCTGATTCAAGTTCTTCAAATCTCACAAAATTGGTGTCAAACCTTTGTGCAGCACAAATTTATAATTTTAAATATATATATAAAAAAATTTCCATGAGATCTCTGGAAACAAATCTTTAAAAAGACACAAACGTTTGACACCGATTTTGTTAGATTTGAAGTCATTTTGAGCGTTTTGTTCTATTTCCTGTTTTCCTGTCCGACTTCCTTTGACCTGTTTTTGTTTCCGTCTCTTCAGGGTTTCAGTTCGACGAAGATCTGCTGGAAGTTTTTAAAACGGACTTCCAGCTGCGGCTGCTTTGGGGGAGCCGCGGAGCAGCCGTCAACCAATCAGATCGCTACAACAAGTTCAACCTCATCCTCACCGCGTTGTCCAGGAAACTGGAGCCTGTGACCAAAACACAACTAACTAACTAAAGAACAGAGCAAAGCCTCAAACCACCGAGCCACTAGCAGCTCAAAACAAAAAAACGTAAAACGACTTCAGTGATCAGGTCAGTTTTATTTAATCCAGTATTAAATATTTACCACAATATCTTAGAGGAAAAACTGCATTAATACTAAAACTATGAAGGTTTGTTGTAGAGCGACAGGTTAAAACAGAAACCGATGCAGTCTATATAACAGATCACAAAGTATGGAGGAGTGATCCTGCCAAGATTGGCAATAAATATAGAAATAGATAAATGGTTCAATAAAGTAATTTTGCCAAAAGTTGCACCCAAAACATAAAGTATAAAAACTTTCCTGGCTTATTTTATTATTGTGTGCTATTATTTTCAACAATATTATTTTAACTTTGACCAGTAATTATAATTTTCAGTCTTATTTGCAATCTTGTTTTATTAGTTTCATTTATTTAATTATTTGTTCTTTCCTTATATATTTTTTTTAATTTACTGTCACTTTTGTTTAATAGGTTTTTTTTTTATTTTCTCCATTTTTTTATTTTTAGAAATTTGTAAATGGACTGTAATTTTTTATATACATTTGGTTTATTTTCTCCTGTAACATTTCATCTTTGCATTTTCCCTTTTCATTTATTCACAATTAATTTTATTTTCCTTATTTTTTTTCCTTCTAATGTTAAATTACTACTGTTGAAAATGACAAATATTAACTTAGATTACACTGCATAATCAAATAAATGGGAAAGTTCTTTTTTATGCAATACTTAATTACTTTATCAAGCCATTTATTTCTATATTTATTATTAATTTTGGCAGGATCAGTCCCCCATAGAAACTAAAGCTACAGATAATACACTGAGAAACCGAATGTTTTTCTGCCTTGGATCACAAGGCCAGAATAACGTCGAACTCACCAACAAAACCAGCAGACATAAACCAAGAGGTTAAATTTCACAAAAAATAAACAGAAAACCAAATTATTGTTAAATACTGCAGTCTTGTATGCCTTGTCTAATTCTAATATAAATTAAGTTGATGTGATGCAAACTGTCTGAGGGTGGATGACGTGCTGGCGCGTCGAAATCAACGTTTCCAGTCGATTTTATTTACTTTTCTGAAAACTTTGCTTGATAAAAATGTTAAAATGCAGAATACACTGGACAGGACTGGTCCAATAATAGAGGATGGGTCTTTATCTGCATTAATATCGCTAATTACCAAATAAAACACAACTTTTACAGAGCTAAGATGTGAGTGAACCCATTTCATTTTGCAAAATTCCCCAAAAAGTATTATAAATTTTCATCTCTTGGCTAAAATATGAGCCCTGATTTTGTGAATAAATGGGGAGATAAACATCTGAAATCAACTTGATGTTGATCAACTGAATAAAAAATGAATAAAAGATTAATTTCTGTTTTTCTTCTTTAAATTTAGTGCAGGATTATATTTTTTAGTGGAGAAAAATGAAGTAGTGACGCAGTGGAAATGGCTGTCAGCTGTTTTTATAAAATATGGAGCCAAAAAAAGGTAAAATTATTTTTTAAAAAGTCAAAACTGAACAAAAATCACATGTATCTATGAAGATTGTATTTAATTCACTAAAAATAAAATCACTAAAATACTTTGTGATATTCAAGCTGTACATATTTAAAACATATTAGACTGTAAATATTTTAAGACTGACTGTAAAAAAGTTAATTTTAATGTTTATATTATGAATGTCGTAAAATGTAATAAATACGGTTTATGAACTGAACTCATCTGATTTCCATGAAGTGTTGCATGACAAAAAATTTGCTTTTACACAAAATACTCTCATGGTTTTATGTTTGTTTTATTAGAGCGACATTTTCAACAAGGAAAAGGTGAATTATGTTCAAAGTCTTCGACAACATTCAAGGAAAATAAAAAATGTGCACAATATGGAGAGTGAGTACTGCCATGATTACAACATACGGAGAACAGATGTACATTTTTCTGCCTGCTTCTGGGTTTAATTACTGGGAAAAAGGCTTAAATGTTCTGAAAGGCATATTGGCGCCATTGTAGACAGAAAAACTGGAGTAAATTTCACCAAAAAATATCTGAAATGTTCCACAAAAAAAAGTTTGAAAAATCAAAAAGAAAAAACAGACATTTTTAGGTTGGTGTCAGATTTTTGAATTTAAAGAGTCACATATTTGCTAAAATAAACCCAATTTTTTGGGAGGGTTTTAGAAAAAAAATGGAAAATGCAGTTTCAAGTTAGAAATTTTTGACTTTTGAAACTCAGAAATTTCCACGTTATCTTCTCAAAATTTTCAACTTTTTACTCAGAAATGTCTTTTTCCTAGAAAATTTCTGAGATAAATCTCAAAATTAGATTTTTTCTCTCTCATATTTTCAACTTTTCAAATTCTGATTTCCATTTTCCTCACAATTTTTTTTACTTTTGAAACTCAAATTTCCCCAAAAAATTTCAAATTTTGTGAAATCTCAGAATTTCTTCATTTTTTGGTGATTTTCTCCCGTTTTTCCTTTTTTTCTGCCTAGAATGGCTCTCACACGCCATCGTCTGTTTTCACAGGATTTTGGAGAAATAAAACAACCAGACAGAATTTGTCGGGTTTATTTCTGGATCACAGTGGTTTCCAGTACCAGAACTTACTGCAGGTTTATACGTTTAAAACAAAAGTTTAATGTTTCTCCAAAAACACCAGAAAGAAAAAAACATTTTCTTCTCTCAGGTTTTTATGCAAAACATTCCCTGCTTCTTTTTTTTCTTTCACACAACAAAAACGTGGAAATCTTTGGACTTTGTTTTGCAAACAGAGCAGTTGGAAGACATTTAGGTCAGGAATGATTTATGATATTAAAACACAGAAAAGCTTTAAAAATTAATTAGGATGGAAGGTTTCACTGCATTATAATACACAAAATTATGTAAATGCTTTTTCAGCATTAAAGAAACGAGGTTACGATTAACCCCACAACGATTCAACCTCAACTCAGATTACAGTTTTGGACGTTTAATCTGTAAACGTGTTTCTTCTTGCAGGCAGTAGTGAGATTTTAGTGTAATCACTAAAGAATCTGTGGAGGGAGCTAAAGATTAGGGTGATGGTACGGAGGCCATCCAACTTTAAAGGCTTGGAGATAATCAAAGTGAAACTAGAAATGCACCGATTGTAGTTTTCTGGCCTGACGATTCAGTTTGGCCAATTATCAATTTGCCTGAAAAGTTGCCAAATATCCCAACAAAGTTTCATCTTTGCTTGGGGCGAGCGCTGATCTCCCAAAATTAATGAAATCAATACCGAAAAAAACAGCAATGTTAAATTTTTCCACTAATTTTTGACAAGGGTGTAAATATTTAGCAAAATGTACTTTAATACATAAAATATAAACTAAAATGCTTTTTTGTCTACATGTTTTAAGACAAACACCTTGAATTGAGATCCAAACCTGACAGGGGCGAGAAAAACTTTGGGCTTAAAGCTTAAGTATCTTAATTTTATTTAAAAAATTATTCTATTACACATTTATTGAAACTGTCACCATGTTGTGATAGTTTTATATGAAACAGGAAAACTGAAAAAAAAAAAATTTAGTTCCTGTCTTCTCCCAGTGCCAACTAGAAACAACCAATCAGAACCAGGAGGCGGGGCTTAGCGCTGTCAATCACAGCCCTTACGCTGTGCTACTGTACAGCTTCTTCCTGATAGTTTTCCTGTAAGTTTGTTTCTCTCCCATCAGCACATTGATCAGCGAGTACATGACATTGATTGACAGCACTAAGCTCCGCCTCCTGGATCTGATTGGTTGTTTTTGGAGCATTTCTTCAGACGGCAGTAGCAGCTCAGGGAGGAGATCGATGCTTTTACAGATCATCTGTCTCAAACTGTCAGAACATGACTGTTTTAACAAATATGTAAAAAAACAAACATTTTTAATGAAAGTTACGTACTTTAAGTGTAAGTAAGGAAACACAAAGCCATTGCTTAATTTGCAACAAGATGTATTAAATTAATTTGTCCGGCTGCAGAAACTGACATTTTAATTCGCTTCATTCTGCGAGACGTCAGAAGAATATGGTAAAATTATTTCCAGGCTAATTTACTTACATTTTCTGCATGTTTAAAAAGTTTCAAGGTTAAAGTTTGCATAAAGGCAACAGAGAAGCAAATTTAAGCCCTGATTAGATATATGGAGGCTGTGAAGTGACAAAAATAAGGAAGTTGGAGTTAGAACATCTACAGCGTCATAATGCACATTTCACAGCTTCGTCATAGAAACAGAATCACAGCCGGCTGCTGGTTAGAGATTATTCCTCAAAAGTCTGAAGCGTCCATTAGTGTCTCAGACATACCGTCATGAATCAAAGATCTAAACAAATCATGCAAAAATAAACTGTTTTGAATAAAAAGAGTACAAAACATATTTTTTTGTTTGCCTAGTGGTCATTCAGAAAAACAAAAATCTCATCATTCATTCATTCATTCATTCATCAGGTTCAAACACTGTTTCAGGGCAAAGTGCATCTCTTCAAACCGTGTCGCCTCCGAGGAACAAAACAAGCACCATGGAAACACATCCAGCATGACACAGATGTTTATATGTACAAATAATTCAACAGATTAAAGAAAAAAAACATGATGCATGTAACACGGACGGATTTTTGGCCTACTTGGCTCTCCGTACGTGATGCGCGTGTCGAAACATTCACAAACAAACTGATGTTGAGAGTCCAGGAGGGCGAAGGATGAACCCAGGTGGCTGATGGGAAATGTAGTGTAAAAATCCATCAACGATGAAAACAGCATGAAGGTTTTCTAAGGCTGAAGTCCAGCTGGAGCCGGTGCGGTGAAGGAGAGGCCGCCCCCTGCTGGTCGACTGGAGCAACGACATCCGAGGAGGGAAAGGCAAAGAGAGAGGAAGAGGAGGAGGAGGAAGGGTTGTGTTTTCACCTGAGTCCTGCTGTCTGTCTAATGATCTCTGAGAAGTTCCAAACATTTAAAAAATCATGCTTCATTAGACAACGTGGCGATCAACGGAAACATCAAAAACATGCGACTTGGTGAGGATGAAGGCAGGCATGAGGAGCAGAGTGGCTCAGGCAGGCAGACATCACCAACAGAGCACAGAAGATGACAGGACACAGATGGAGCACAGCAGCACTGATGGTGTTAGCAAGCAGACCGAGACGGCTTAAACAAAGTCCGGGCGCTGCGGGGACTCAACATGGCTCTCTACTAAACAATCACAGGTACGGAAGAAGATTAGGGCCACTAAAAAATAGTAACTCTGAATTTAATGTCAGAATTAAATTCAGGATTCTGAA